TCACCACCGTGACCAACTGCCCATTATTATCAGGCAGAAACCCCAGCACCCAATGTTCCAGCAGTAACAGCACCAACGGTCGAACAGTGGGAAGTGCTGCATGAAGCCGATCCACTCCAGACGGACGCAGATAATCGACAACACCATCGACAGACGGTTTATCTGGAAGGAAAAGCAGTACAAGGGCTCCGAGACTCAGGAGCCAACATAACACTAGTAAAAAGCCACTTAGTTGCCACAATGACAGAACTAACAATACCATGGCCGTAAGGGTAGCCGGGGGAGCAGTGTACCAGCTAGCCACAGCAAGGGTACATTTGAATTGGGGAGTGGGGTCTGGAACGGTGGAGGTGGGGTTAATGACGCAGTTACTGGCAGAGGTTTTGTTGGGGAATGATCTGGGGAAGCTCACTTCTGCCTATGAGCCCCAGACCACATCAGGAGAAGCACACCCGGTTGTTACCCGGCAATAGGCTCGCACCCAGGACCACAACTCGCACCTTGAGGTTCAGGTAAGAGACCCTACCTCATCCTTAGAGTGTATCCCCTGGGCCTCCCCTAGTGAATTTGAGGCAGAGGTGATCACCGACCCCACGCTACAAGTACAGAGACAAGGTCACCTCTGACCAATCCGGAGCGGAGGGGGAGAGATTTGTATGGGACAAGAAATTGTTATACAATGAATCCGAGAAAACCGTAGCCGGGTCCGACCCGATTATCACTAGGCAACTGGTAGTACCTCAGCGGTACCGACCAGAGTTACTCCAGATAGTGCGTGATATCCCGCGAGTTTCTTTTGGTCAGGGTCAGTCAGGAAGTCAGGAAATACTGCCAGACCTGTGATACATGCCAGAGAGTAGGTAAGAGGGGGGATCGCAGGAAAGCTAAATTACACCCCTTAACCATAATCGAGGAACCTTTCCGCCGGATAGCGGTAGATATAGTAGGTCCCTTAGCCAGCCTTAGCCCCTCTGGCAAGAAGTTTATCTTGACAGTGGTGGACTACGCTACCAGGTATCCAGAGGCAGTGGCCTTAACTAATATCCATGCTGAAACTATAGCGGAGGCCCTCATGCGGATTTTCTCCCGATGGGGGCAATACCTCACTACAATCGATCTTTGTAAGGGGTTTTGGCCCCTGAAGCTATCCCTAAGTCAGCCTTTGTCACCCCATTCGGCTTATACCAATTTAAGGTAATGCCGCTTGGGATTTAAACGCTCCGGCTACCTTCCAAAGGATAGTGGACCAACTCCGTAGATGTGTTCCAAGACTAAACCTGTGCCTATTTAGATGACATCGCCATCTTTAACGATACCTGGCAGGAGCACTTGACCCATATAGAAGCGGTTCTAGACAGGATTAGGGAAGCAGGCTTAACACTGAAGCCTGCCAAATGTAATATAGGAATGGCCGAGGTGCAGTATCTCTGACATCGAGTAGGATGTGGGAAGCAGAAACCTGTAGCCCAGTAGCCAACCCCCAGAACTAAGACTCAGGTATTAGCCTTTTTAGGGACAGCAGGGTACTATAGGAAGTTTGTTCCCAACTATAGCGCCCTGGCCAAGCCCCTTACTGATCTTACCTGGAAGAATTTTTTTTTTGGTGCCGAAACCCGGGATCTGACGGTCGAGAGACTCGGACACTAGTGTACAGGCCCACATATATGGATTGAATTTATGGCAAATTACAGAGGTTGGTTAGAAGATAATGACTTAGTAGAAGACGCACAAAAATGGCTACTTTTTTTTTTTTTTTGGTATCTTACTGCCGACCATGGCTGTGTTCTGTAGCTATCAACATGCAACCACGGTATGATTGTCTTGCCAATGAAAACAAACCATTTAAATTAACCCATGCGGCAGAAAATGCCTTCTATACCCTTAAGTTACTGGTAACGTCAGCTCCGGCACTGGGTCTCCCAGATTACAGAAATAATTTTAACCTGTTCTGTACTGAGTAATCAGGTTATGCTACATCTGTCCTTACACAGGACCATGGTGGTAAACAAAGACCAATAGCATACTACTCCACCAGATTGGACCCTGTTGCCAGGGGTGCCCCCTCATGTGTTAGGGCAGTGGCGGCTGTTACTGCCCTCCTAGACAAAGCCACTGATATTGTTTTAGACAATCCAGTGACCATATACACACCGCATGATTTCAACAGCATACTGTCACAAGTTCAACCAAAACACATACATACTGCAAGGCATCTCAGAATGCAATGTGCCTTGCTTATGCCACCTAATGTTACTCTTAAAAGGTGTATGGTGGCAAATCCATCTACATTACTTCCCCTGGATTTAAAAGAGGGTAGTGGGTATAGTGGGAATGGTACTTGTACTTCTGATCTTTTTGTAAATTTACTTTCACCAGATGAGCTAGCTGACGCCCAGGTACCCCATGATTGTGCAGCACTAATGGCACAAGAAACGGCAGGTTTTTTGCATGTAATTGATTCTCCATTATCTAATGAGGATTTTGAGTTTTTTGTAGATGGTTCCAGATATTCTGATGAGAAGGGTAATTTCCACACTGGATATGCTGTAGTCTCTCCACATGAGGTAATAAAAGCTGAACCACTTGCTCCTCACTGCTCTGCACAGGAGGCAGAGCTGAAGGCACTTGCTGAAGCGTGTAAAATGGCTTCTGGTAAGACTGCTAATATTTATACAGACTCTCGCTATGCTTTTGGTATAGCCCATGATTCTGGCCCTATATGGCAGGCTCGTGATTTTCTCACCTCAGCAGAAACTCCAATCAAGAATACTGAAGCTGTGAGTGCACTTATGGACGCTATCCTGCTACCCACTCAAGGTGGCAGCTCACGTGAAGATTACAGATGAGATTTCAAGAGGAAACCACAAAGCAGACGAAGCTGCCAAGCAAGCAGCAATTTAAGTTTATCCCTCTACAGGTAATACCTTCCTACAAGTTGTTCTTACAGATGACGCCATTGACTACAAAATACTGTTGAGCTTACAAAGACAGGCAAGCAAAGAAGAACATGACCTCTGGAGGAAACAAGATGCAGAACCTGATGATGACAGAATGTGGAGGAAAGGTAAAAGACTGTGTTTGCCACGAGTGTTGTACCCCATGATGACCCAGATTGCCCATGGACCTACACATCTATCCAAGATGCACATGAACAGCATAGTAAACACCCATTGGGTAGCACCCGGATTTACTGTTGTAGCAGCTAAACACACCCAAGCTTGCATGATTGGTGCTAGAAACAATCCAGGACAGGCTGTTAAAACACCAAGTAAGCATACACCAAGGCCACTTTACCCGTTTCTAAGACTGCAGATAGACTATATTCAACTACCTAAGGTAGGAGTGTATGAATATGTGTTGCTGTGCATTGATCTCTTTTCGGGTTGGCCTGAGGCCTACCCAATGTCGAAAGCCTCAACGAAGGTCACAGCAAGTAAGCTTCTAAAGGAACTGGTATGTAGATATGGAGTACCTGAAGTGATTGAAAGTGACAGAGGTAGCCATTTCACTGGGGAAATAATGCAAGAAATTATGAAAGACTTAGGGATCAGTCAGGCCTTCCACACCCCCTATCACCCCCAGAGTAGTGGGAAAGTAGAAAGGGCAAATGGCACCTTAAAGAACAAGATTGCAAAAGCCATGCAAGACACAAGGAAGCCCTGGACTGAATGCCTTCCCCTAGCACTGTTTTCTATGACATTCACCCCCAATTCCAGACATGGCCTATCCCCTTTTGAGATCCTGTTTGGATGTGCCCCAAAGACAGGCCTCTATTTTCCCCAAACCCTCCAGATGCAGCATGGTAGTATGACTGCCTATGTTCAGGCCCTACACCAAAGATTAGGCAGGGTGAATAAACAAGTCTTTGATTCTATTCCAGATCCAGACTCTGATTCTGCAACTCACAAACTGCAACCTGGTGATTGGGTGGTGATAAAGAGGCATGTGAGGAAAGGACTTGAACCACGCTTTGACGGTCCATTCCAAGTGCTCTTGACTACAGCTACCTCAGTGAAACTAGAAGGAAAAACCACGTGGATACACGCCAGTCACTGTAAACAAGTCACTCCGACTGATCCACCAACATGAAGCTGTTCTTATCCTTTACCATTGTATGCTGTGTTCGGATATGCTACTCTGACTTGAGACCAGATAATAATAATGCATGGCAGGAAAATATATGGTTGCAGATAGCAAAGACTTTTAATTTACCCTCCTTTTGCCTCAACCCTCTCCTCAGTACTGAAAACGCCATAGAATCTTGTCTTGTAGCTGTCCCTACCCCCATCTCACTGTTGAGGAAGTACCTACATACCCATAGACCCCATAGACCCCATAGAGAGCTACTACTATCTTCATATGCTTTCAACCCACTGGTAGGCAAGCCTCCCCTAGCCCTGAAGACAATTAATGTGACAGGCGCTGAACTATGTTTGTCTTTTTCATGTAATTGTTCCCTAATACTGAATCCCTGTTTTGCACCACATGGTGGAAAATACCACGAATTGTAGAGCCCTGAGCACCACTATGAATTGTACCAAACTCACCAAGTTATGAGTTACCACTACAATGCCTATCTTCCTAAAGGATGGACTTTCTTCTGTGGAAATATTACTTATGCTTATGTCCCAGGTAACATTACAGGAGGTCCCTGTGCAATCTCTCTCCTAACCATGACCATGTTTTCCAAATCTGACCTGATCACTAAAACCACCGAGCTACACAAACTGCTGAGAGACAGGAGAGATGTTAAAAACACCATTACTGCAGATTGTAACCCTGAAATCACGCTCTTAGCTAAAGCCGAATACTCCGCCCTAGCGTACACCTTGGTAGGAGTCCCAGGCTTAGCACTGTATAATGCCCGAGTAGTTAATGCTGTAGCCTGTTCCCTTGCAAAAGCTTTAAATGACACTTCACAGGCCCTAGAAGAGATACTTATGGACAACCAGGCAAATAAGAAGGCAATCCTTGAGAATAGAGCAGCCATTGACTACTTACTAATGAAACATGACTTAGGCTGCGAAGCTATTGAAGGTATGTGCTGTTTTAACATATCTGACCATGGCACTATGATCCATAAACATATAAAATATTTACATGACTTAGTACAGGATATCAAACAGGATACTGGCTTCTTTGGGGATTGGGATTGGACATGAGGGCTAGGAACATGGTTGACTTTAATAATTAAGAATATTTTGTACTTTTTGCTATTAGCTGTATTTGTCATTATGGCCATTTTTCTAACCTTTAGATTGTTTTCATGTCTACTAACCTCTCTATGTAAAAGCAAACCTACTGTTGGTCGTACCTTAACTTACATTCCAGCTCCGACTTCGGAAGGGTTTTATGAAGTTACCTCGCCTAACAAATGAAGGAACTCTCCTCCGCTGATTCTGGTGGTCTCTCAGTCCAAGGGAACCGTGGTGAAGCAATAAATGAAAGTCCCACAGGCTTTGGCTAGCAGGCCTTGATATACCTTGGACATTTGGGTGACCCTTGGGTCAAAAGAGGGGATTGTGATAGAATTTATCTTGATTCCAAGGCTCAAGCTTATAGGTGTCATATAATGATATCCTATATTAAAATTGGCTAACTTGGACTCAGGAAATGATTTATGCTTAAACAAGACTTAAGACCATATATGTCTAGTTCCGGGAGCAGAGAGCCCCCACCTGAGATGTTTCTTCTCTAATCTTTTTGTTCTCTCTTACCTTGGAACTTATTTGTTATGTGTACATGATACTCATCCCTATGTCTTATCTGTACTCCCTTCCTATTACTGTTCTAAGAGTATTTGCACGTAAGCACTTACTTTTTAATGTATAAAACCCAGCTGATGAATAAAACGGCAGAGGCTTATTTTGAATACCAACAGGTGTCTGTTGTCTAATTCTCGCTTCTCCAAGTGCACTTGTAACAAAAATTTGGGCTTCCTCTGAATATAACAAAGATCAACATTCTGATTCACAACACTACTCACCACCTTTCTTATTTTTTGCTGTCCATACGTTTACTTGTTGCAGTATTTTACATTATTTGCCACTGTTCGTTACTTAAAAGAAACAAGTAACAAGCTATCTGTTATTTCATTCATCTGGTTGTTCGGTAAGAACAACACAAGAAATGGTGGATTGGCGCTAAAGAGCCAGAGAATATGCAACTACCCCCAGTGCCCGAAATCACTAAATGGCACTCAGATACAAAGTGATTGAAAAATATATATAAGGGGGGTGCACATAGAATAAAGAGAAAATATATTTATACTTAGTATAAGTAGGACACCTCCTGTTTGACCTTTAATAAAAACACATATATAATGTAACACTGTTAGATACAAAACATTGGTCAGTCACAGGTATTGGGTCACTCACAGTGTGTAGAGCCACATAAAGCTGGCTCTAACTTTGGTGGCAGGTGAATAATAAGCTTATTCTGGCTTTCAGCTTTCAGCTTGCCAGGCAGGTCTGCTTCTTTTCTCGGCCTTTTAATAAATTCCAGGACCTCCAGTATCAATAATCAAAAGGTAACTGTGACGAAGTGCCCTTCGCCACTTGGTCCTGGAGAGGCCTACTTGCCAGCCTTCTCCCCTGTGACTATGACTCTTTCATGTATTTGGCTTTAAAGCCCTTAGTCTACCTTCAGACAGACTATTTATGTAGGCTGCTTTATTTATCTTATGTTTTAGTCACCCTGTACCCATTATAGGTGCAGGGTGTGTGTAATGTAATTGTTTATAGTGTGTGTGTGTGTGCTGTGTAATGTATTGCCTGCTCTCTTGTATTGCTGAGGTTTGCTACCAACTAGGTGGGTTTGGCTATGGAGCTGGTCTAGTGCCCTCTGTTGGTAGCAACAGCAATATGCACTACCTGAATTGCAAGATTGGTTCATTTGCATATTCGGGTAGATTTGCATATTGCTAATTCTGCAGGCAGGTGAGATATTTACTGTTAAATATTGTCTCCCCCCACCCCTTTAAAAATGTGCCATTGTGTTGTGATAAGTCACTGTGTGTTGCTTGATATGGTTTGACTGTTTGTGATTTTATTGAGGTTTCACAACAATGTTATTGTGGTGACTGTATTGGCTGGTCCCAAGGGAATAAAGGTTTTGACAGTTCTTCTTGATCCCTCTAAATGTAGCCTTGTCTCGTTATTGGAGGGAGCGGTTATAATCACACTGGGGATTGCTATGCTCTGCATGCTCCCCTGAGCTTGAATCACTTAGCTCTTTTAAGAGCTTGTTCCTGACACGCTCTCCTTGGAGGAGGGGTCTTCACCACACAGTCCTGGATGCTGGAGGTTCGTACAGGGTGGAAGGAAGAGTTCTTTCCCACACAGTCCTGGAGGACAGAAGCTGATCCAGGGTGGAAGGAAGACGGCGAGACTCCAGTCAAGATACAGCGGTTGCGGAGTCTGCGGTGGTTGTGGTGTCTGCTGCACTGCTTGGAGTCCTCAGGAAGCGCTAGGAGCATCCGTCAACGGAGGGTACTCAGTCAGAGTACAAGGAGCTCTGTTACATTGGTGGCAAGCGGTGGGATGGCTTCCTAGTGCGAGGAGAAGCAGCTCGGAGACACTGGTATCGTATGAGAGGTTATTGAGGGCAACGCTAGCCACTGTGCAGCGTCCCTAACTACAGCAGCATGGAGCGGGGATGGATAGAGCCCTGCGAAGAGCACCTCAACATGATACATCGCTACGAGGACGACGCTTACATTGAGGAGGTAAAGAGGCGGTTGGTCTGCTATGGCCCAGACCTTTCGAACGAGGTGGTCCACCAAGTAATGCGCCAGTTGAGTGCTGAGAACAGTGCGGCAATGGCCTTTGAGCGACAACTGTGGAGGTTGAGGATATGGACACCTAGTCTCCAGTGGCAGTGCAAGTTACAGGGACCTGAAGGTGTCGTCCTTCCTCCCCAGCGGCAGTGCAAGTTATAGGGAGCCGAAGGTGTCGTCCTTCCTCCCCAGCGGCAGTGTGTCCTACAGGGAGCAGAGACAGTTGGTCTCTCTCCCCAGCGGCAGTGCAAGTTACAGGGAGCCAAAGGTGTTGTCCTTCCTCCCCAGCGGCAGTGCAAGTTACAGGGAGCCGAAGGTGTCGTCCTTCCTCCCCAGCAGCAGTGTGTCCTACAGGGAGCAGAGACAGTTGGTCTCTCTCTCCAGCAGCAGGACAATGTTATGGGAGTGGAGACAGGCGGTCTCCCTCTCCAGCGGCAGCCTGTGTTTCAGGGAGAGGAGCACAGCACCCTATCTCCCCAGCGGCAGCTTACCCTACCAAGGGGAGACCCCAATCTCCCAGATGGCGCAGAGGGGACCGTGGTCTCTGTGCCCGACCTACAGGTATGCTGGACAGCCTGTCCAGATCCCCAACTACCCTCACAGGGACAACAGGAGGAGGGGGTAAGTACGAATTCCCCTCCCCAGCTAACTCCTAACTTGGCCCCAGGGTTAACAGGGGAGATGTTAACCCCCACTGACCCCCACGTTCCCCTGGCTACTGAGCCGGACTATGTCCCAAGCCCCCAGCGGAAGAGCTGGCAGCTGGGCAGAGTGCAGTCGGCCTCTGCCCTCCCTTTGTCCCTTGTCCAGAGCCTGATGTCCTGCAGGCTATACCAGCAGAAGAGCTGGCATCAGGGCAGACCGCCGCTGGCCTCTGCCCTACCGATCCCCTTGTCACAGGACTGGCCTGCACCCCCCTCCTCCCAGCAGAAGCGCTGGCATCAGGGCAGAGCGCCGCTGGCCTCTGCCCCTCAAGTCCCCACAGCGTGTTGCCCCATCACCCCAGAGGAATACCCAGGTGCAGTCACTGTTTGCTGTGGGTGGGCTGCTCTAATAACTGTTTGTTGTGGGTGGGCTACTCTGGCACTTGCTTATGGTCAGTGGGTGACTCGACTAACTTAGGCACTGACCGACAGAAAGTCAGGTGCCTGGTTAGTCTTCCCCCCGAAGGGGAGATATGTGACGAAGTGCCCTTCGCCACTTGGTCCTGGAGAGGCCTACTTGCCAGCCTTCTCCCCTGTGACTATGACTCTTTCATGTATCTGGCTTTAAAGGCCCTAGTATACCTTCAGACAGACTATTTATGTAGGCTGCTTTATTTATCTTATGTTTTAGTCACCCTGTACCCATTATAGGTGCAGGGTGTGTGTAATGTAATTGTTTATAGTGTGTGTGTGTGTACTGTGTAATGTATTGTCTGCTCTCTTGTATTGCTGAGGTTTGCTACCAACTAGGTGGGTTTGGCTATGGAGCTGGTCTAGTGCCCTCTGTTGGTAGCAACAGCAATATGCACTACCTGAATTGCAAGACTGGTTCATTTGCATATTCGGGTAGATTTGCATATTGCTAATTCTGCAGGCAGGTGAGATATTTACTGTTAAATATTGTCTCCCCCCACCCCTTTAAAAATGTGCCATTGTGTTGTGATAAGTCACTGTGTATTGCTTGATATAGTTTGACTGTTTGTGATTTTATTGAGGTTTCACAACAATGTTATTGTGGTGACCCTATTGGCTGGTCCCAAGGGAAATAAAGGTTTTGACAGTTCTTCTTGATCCCTCTAAACGTAGCCTTGTCTCGTTATTGGAGAGAGCTGTTATAATCACACTGGGGATTGCTATGCTCTGCATGCTCCCCTGAGCTTGAATCACTTAGCTCTTTTAAGAGCTTGTTCCTGACACGCTCTCCTTTGAGGAGGGGTCTTCACCACACAGTCCTGGATGCTGGAGGTTCGTACAGGGTGGAAGGAAGAGTTCTTTCCCACACAGTCCTGGAGGACAGAAGCTGATCCAGGGTGGAAGGAAGACGGTGAGACTCCAGTCAAAATACAGCGGTTGCGGAGTCTGCGGTGGTTGTGGTGTCTGCTGCACTGCTTGGAGTCCTCAGGAAGCGCTAGGAGCATCCGTCAACTGAGGGTACTCAGTCGGAGTACAAGGAGCTCCGTTACAGTAACTTTACTGGTTAAAATACAGGATACAGGAAAAGCTAAAATAACATACCAAAATCCACAGCACTAACGCGTTTCGACCTCCAGGTCTTTATCAAAGTGTGTGGTGAGTATCGGTCTTCTTTCTTTTAAATAGTGTTCTCCTCTTCAAATTTAGCGCCATTTTGCTGGCGTCCGTCTTCACTTCCGTGTTCGCCATGCTTCCGCGTCACGTGACCTCCCGTCCGATCACGTGATCATGCGTCGTGATGTCACTTCCGGGTTTTCGATCTTCCTTTCACAAACTTTATGTGTATTAACAGTCCTGGTGTTTTTCGCTATATTTAAAATGGGAAAACAAGCCCTACATATAGAAACATCTAAAAGAGTCAATTTAAATCTTACACTGAATCTTCTTAT